CTACATTTAACAAACTGACGCCTATACTTTGGCCTATACTTTGAAACTGCTGGACATTCCTCTTGGCCAGGTTTCATTATTGGAAGAATTACTGATATCTTCCGTTATAATGAAAAGCATCCTCCCTTCAAACTGGTATTATAAATGGCTGTGAAAAACTGGGGGAAAAGCTTGAAGGATTTGAATATGATGTCAGATGTTATGATATCATCTCCAGGAGATTTTATAGGATTGAATTGGGTTGGTACAGCAAATATCTCTTGTTTTGTAAATGGTGCATCGTCTTGATTTTGCAAAGGGTAATTAACACGTTTTCTTAATTTCTTGTGCTGTTCACAATCATTGTGCTCAACATCTTCTGGTACAAAATATTTCATCATTTATTGAATAGTACTTTCTATATCAGCTATGTAAGTTTTATGATCTTTCTGTAGTAAGGTAATCGATCCTTGCCCGCTTACCTTGTTTGCAGTAAACATTCGATACACAGTAGTGTATTATACGAGTACGATCTATCTCTGTGTCTGCCTGTTCCTGTCTCTGCTGTGTCTCTCTCTCTCTGTCTGCCTGCGTTTGTCTGTGAACAACCCTAGCGTCTAAACCAGCGAATTTTCTTCAAAATTGGTATTCTCCAATCGATCTGGCTGATGTCACGCCTTGCATTTGAAACCTTTTATTTTAGTTTTAGGGATTACTTTGCATGAAATGCTGGGACATTTTCAAGAAATGGCTAAATGGTTTTGATCAAATTTTGTTGCTGGACAGTGTAATGGACGTAGCTGCAGGTCTCCTATTTGATAAAATGGTTGATTTTTTCGAAAATTGGAAATGTCCATTTTTTTCGTTTCTTCCTACAACTATTAAAGATAGAGATTATTCCCTCAATGAAATTGTTGCTTAAAGAGTTTTCAAGAATTTGAGTTCTTTTGGCGCAATTTTTCGTGAAACACTGGTGAGAAAACTGCAGTTTTAGCACAACTAGTGCCTATACATTCGTAATTATAAACATTGATAAATCCGTACCTCCGGAGGCGACGCTGTCTCCTGGCTACGCACGAGCTCTGCGGCGTCGACGCTCCGCAGGCAGGGCACGATGGAGTCGTCGGCGGTGTCTGGGCAGAGCGTGGCCAACTGCGCCCGCAGCGCAGCGGCGTGTTCGCGCGGCCGCTCCGCCATCGCCCAGGGCGCCAACGCCGACCCGCTCATGGACACAGCCCCGTGGATCAGGCCTGCAACCGCGCCCCGAACACGCGCAAAAAATGTGTTCACCCATTATGACAGGCTTCTTCGGCCTAGCCTTTCCAGACCGCGCCTGGAAAAACTCGGCGGTCCTAGACGCTCGGGACACCCCTCACTCCGCTCTCGCTTCCCCTCCAAAGCCAAAAAGGGGGTCTACATGAGTAATCTGAAGAGAGACAGTGTTGAAAATAGTTCCTACATACAAAAGTTAGTGTGCCAGATTTGTTCCATTAAGCAACCGAGCTTTGTATTTTCATATTCTTTACTTTTTATAACTAATTCGTGTTTTTTAAATTCCGCCTTGTACATACAACTTTGCCAAGGGATCAGCAATGGCGAATTATTTTCTTGATTTTGTTTTATTAAATCATTCAGTTATTTGTTGTGTCTAGCCAGCGCCGACCGCTCATGATCACGGTCCGGTGGATCAGGCCTGTCACCGCTCCCATGGACTCGCGTACGGCTGAATTGTTCACCCATTACGGCTGAATCGTCAAACCCCGCCGCACCGACCTATAGAGCAGTTACTCTAAGAAGGGACCACTTTCACAGCTCCGGAAACGAATGTCATGCTGGGTGATGACATTTCAAGAGAAAGTGGTAAAACTAATTTACAAATGAGCTCTCTGTTCACAAACGCACTGACAAAACGAGTGCATGGACATAACCTGCAGTTATATTGCCAGCTATGGCCAAGCATTAGCTGTCAAAGACAGTAATCTTTCAGCACTTGCCCGTGTGGGAAGACTGGCACCCCAGCGAAGAGACACGTTCCCTAACTCGGGTTTCGTTTCCCCTCCAAATCCATAAAGGTATCTACATAAATACAGAAACTACGAACTACGAATACAAGAAGGTGTCTACTCAAGATGAATACAGAAAGCTGAAACGGCGCGAGGCGTAAAATAGTGGCTACAAACAAAAATGAGTTTGTCGAATTTTTTCCGTACGTATAAACGGAGTAATAGACGTAGTATAGGGAAAGTTATTAAATGCTGTGGAAAATCGATTGCGAGCTTTCAACGGCAATGCTTTTTGCGGTCCCCTGATAACGAAAAAGTGTTTTTCAAAACGTTCTTCCGTTTTTCTGGTGTTCGGAGAACACACTAGCACCAAAACCGTGCATAGGATTTTTTTCACATTAAAGAAATCCCTGTTCATTTGACCTGTGTTGAAGCTCTGTGGCTTTGAAAATCATTCATTAGTTCTTAGGGGTATTTTGCACAAAGCTCCTTGGACATTTTCAAGATTTTCTCAAAAATGGCTCTAAATTTCTTATAAGAATAGAGTAAAATGCAAATGTGGCATAGGTCCGATTTTCACGGTTAACTCTGAAGTTTCGAAAATTTCAAAAGTATGAATTATTTTTCGTAGTCTTCCTTTAACAAAATTAAAAATAGAGATTTTTCTTCAAATAAATTTTGTTGTCTGTAATTCGTTCTTTCAATAAGGCCAGGTACATGTTTTAATTTTTTAGAAGTTTTTGCTCCATATTGCCCGCAATTTGTGCAAAAAAAAATTTTTTTTCAAAAACAGTTGCAAATTTTTTCATTAAACTTTTGATAGGGATTGTGCTATATATGCATTCTATAAGTTGACATAAACGCTATATTGCTCTATTCTATTGTTTTTTTGAGAAACTATAAAAATATAATTTTTTGACTTGTCTCTCGCGTCGCTAATATTTACATTAGCAGCAAATTGTACATGTACATGTACTATGTGCTTTAAATGATCGCAAAGCTTCTTAAAAACTTAACAATTTTGTCAAAACTAACTCAAAGTTTGGCAATTTCAGAAACACTCAAACGCCATTTTCGCAAAAAAATGGCTCCAATTTTTTCTTCAAACTTATGAGCGGATAGTGCTAATTACACTCTTTATTATTTTGTTTTTTTTTAAAGGACACAAAAAATTTGTGTTTGAGAATTTTTTTAAATATCTCCAACGTTGATAATGTGCTTCAAACGACTTCTAATAAAGTTATTCGAAAACTCAAAAATGTTCTGTGAAAAAGTGCTTCAAATTTCGAATATACTTTAGCGCTTTTTCTTAAAGTAGCCATTTCTTAAAAAACAGCTCTAGGCCATTTAAAAAGCGGTTTTGTTGCTCTTTAATATTCATATAATAATAATAATAACAATAATAATAATTCCGTTATATTATTAGTAATCCGAAAAAGTAAGAAAATTTCAAAGAATTTATTTTGCGCGGCGATACATGGCCGCAGGCAATACTATGTGGCAAGTTTGAATAGCTAGCTGCGACTAAAGGAAATAGAAAACTAATACGGGAAAGTCTGTGCCATTCTGTAGCACCACTAGTTCCATCAAGCAATCAAGATTTCATTTATGCTTATGTTCATTACTCTCAATATGTTTTTTTTTTCTATCAAAATTCTTCCTTGTATAATCATGTATGCCAAGAAGCAGGAATGACAAATGCCTTCGTGTTTTGCTTTGGTGCTTTTTTACTCTTTATTACTATTTCATGTTTTTTTTTCCTTTTAACATGCTTCCTTAAATAAACATGTATGCTAAGAAACAGAAATGATTAATTGCTTCCTTATTTTCGTTTGGTATTGTCATATTAAATCATTTTTTTTCTCTATAGCACTAATATGAAATAAATTAACAAGTTTATATAAGTTAACAACTCTCTCTCTTAGGGACGGGCAGCTCTTTTAACGGACGAATATTTATCTGTCATCGTCTAATCTGAACGTAGGGAGTTAAAGCAATTATTGCACTCTTAAGCTGAAATGATTAAAAATAAAAACTTTTGATTAAAAATATTTAATTTCAGTCCTGATTGACAATTTGAAATTTGACGGACGCATTGTTATGTTTTATTGAATCACTTTTTCGCTTCAGGAGAGAAAATTGTAATAAATATTCTAGTTAAATTTGGGTCAATTACCTTCAACTGACGTCTCCAAAAGACTGTCTTAGGCCAGGTACAATTGATGTACCGCCATTCCAGATCCTTTGTACAATCTTCACATTTAAATCTCGTGACAGTAGCTCTAAATGCAGTGCTCGCGAACTCTAGTAACCTAGTTACCTTGCCCGCACCCTTGACATGACCGCATTTGGAAGCTGCAGCATAGTCCTAACATCTGCACCTTCTTGATATTGTTGATGCTAATAAGCATGTTTTGTTAAGTTCGAAGAGTGTCCTCACTAAGATTTTTATTGAAGTACTGATAAGAGGAATGTAAGCGCCATGTTCTGCAATTGTCTGGTATATATGTTATATTACAAAAATATTGCAGTGTCTGTAAGTATATGCGGTGTATTACGTTTTTAAGGTCGGGTGAACGTAGAATTTCTTTGTATATTTTTCTTCAAAATATATATACATATCTGGGCAAAGATAAAACATTTCTATTATTTTTCAGAAACTTGTTGAACTCTTGTGTTCACATTGAATAGTGATTTTACTGTTTGAGAACCTCCCTATTTCATTAGTGTTCTAGACTTATAATTGAAGAACATGAAACAGTGTTCTGGGGGAGTTTTTATTTTCGGTGTGGTAAATTTGTAGAATTTTTTACAACCACATCTCACACGTGTCTAATTTTTGGTATCTATTCTTCCTGCTCGAAATTTTACCACTCCAATTTTTTCTTCTTTTACTCTTAAGTAATAATACTGATTTCAAAGATACAATTTTTAGAATACTATCACTGTGCTCGTAATTAATGAAATGTAAATATTTAATGTCAATAGATTTAAATTACATGCAAAAGAGTACTTACCGTCGGTTAGCTGTGGCGCGAGAAGCAGGTAGTGTACAATAGCGCCTCCTGCACCCTCTCCAACAACTGTTACTTTTCCTGGATCTCCACCAAAAGCAGCGATGTTGTTCTTTACCCATTTGAGTGCCATAACTGCATCCTTAAGTCCTGCGTTTCCTGGGGCCTGGGAATCTTCTGTATTCAGAAAACCTGCAGAAAATCATAGGATATATATACTTTTGTAGAATAGAGCGTTTTGGAACTCTCGAGCCGAAATGAATTCAATAAATGATACATCAAATAGTAAGAGGATTAACATTGTGTTCAAAAACTTCGTGTACATTAGACAAAAACTGGGTATAAGACGTAACAATCCTTAGGAGTATTTATTGTTACTGCTATTAAAATTCATTTATTTCTTGATGCGTTGACGTTGGGGATAAATAACTATCAAAAACGCCGAATGCTTTAAGAATGACTTGGACTCATTTTCGTTGAACACTGAATTTTCGAAAATATTCAAATCAGAAATAATGCGGGAAACTATTTGATTTTAAAACGTAGGGAAGTTATGTTTGGCGTGCGACTACTGATGTAAACCTGGGAAGTTAATTTTCTCATCGTCATACTGCAATATAAACTGGAACTTTTCAACGGAACCGCACCCTATACTTTTGCCTGGCCGGGAATCGAACCCACTACTGCGTAGCGGCATGCAAACACGCTGAACAAGAGCTAGCCATGAGGCTATGTTGCAAATTACTTATTCAAATACGTAGAGTAATCCAAGAAGACCCACAAAAGTCACAAACTAGGTTTTGTGGGTCTCTGATTCCAAATAGTTTATAAATGTCTGTGCGTCTATTTGTGAACAACACTTGTGCCAAACTATACGCAATCCTTTCACCAAAACTGAAATTTCTTGTTTGATCTGACTGATGCCATAGTCTCCAATTTGAAACAGAATTTTAAACCAAAATAACTTTTTCTTCTTCAATTAACTTTTGAAGGAACTTGAAATTAAACCACGACTTTTCAAAAGTCGAAATTTTCTCAAAAGTTTTAAAGCTCTGAAGTTTTCAATAAATCTTGTTTGAATAGAACATTGTACGATTATAATACATTGATTCCTTTTCCATTAAATTCTTTGGGAATTTGAAAATTGGAGGTATAAAGATCTTACAGCCGACCTGAATGGCCGAAGTAGCTAGAGCGTGTGCCGACTCACCACGTCGATCCGACCGGCCGCGGGTTTGAGACCCGCAGTGGGCATAGTTATTTGGCACTTGTCTTTCATGTATGTGTGTTGCTTCAGAAGGTCTTGTGAGTCTGATAACCACAGACAGAGTAGCCCGCATGAGTGTCTAGTGCAATGGTTAATATGCGTCTCCATGAGGGATTTAGTGGGTACCGGACACGGATACCCGGAATCGGCGGCATCACTTTAAAGCCCCAGGAAGAAGGTATGTTTAAAGATCTTACATCACTATCACAAACATTAGTGAATATTGTTATTTATTAATAAAATATTTTAATTAAAGCTTTGAATAATGTCACGTACTGTTTTTTGAAAATGTGTATTGTTTTCGCAGAAGTTGGAGTAATATCAAGACTATTCTTAAACTGTGCATTATTTTTAAACTAAGGACTATTTGAACAGATTTTAAATTGTTTTGGCAACTTTGGCTCGCCGCAAGAATTATATTACAATTTAGCAAAACATTAACACAGAAATGCAGCGGTTTACCTCGCAAATGTTGACATGACACACCAAAAAAAATCCTGATCTGTCGCTTATACCTCGCTACCTCTTAGTCTGGTTTGAAATGTCTCGTTGAGAGACCGACGCGACTCCTCTTATTCCGTTCCAAAAACTGAGCAAAACAGTTCTTGTGCTCGTCTCGCCCAGATTTGCACCATATAGGCTTTACACGGAGCCACTCTGAGGCGCCACCAAGATGCGTCAATCTCCTTCACACATAGCGACGGTGAAGTGTCACTTGTCTGCGAGGGAGAAAGGATTCGTGTCATACCACTGTGAACTCCGGCGACCACATGGCAGTTTGCACGTAAAAGCCGGTCTAGCTGCGCGCCGAAGTGGTGTGGCGTGATAGCCGTATACAGCTGTGATTGCTGGCGGTGGAGGGGACGCGAGTCTGCGCTGCAGGTGTCAGGAGTTTGCCACCTAGCGCCACACGCGACTTTATCGCTCGTGTGAATACCCCCATTTATACCAATGCTTTGCCAGCAGATGCGTCTCTCGGAAGCGCTGCTGAGTGGTGCCGCGTGAAGGGACTCTAACCGCATCTCTGTCCCAGGCCGCGGCGTCGGTTCAGACGTCAGCAAACCTGCCTCTCCCCTTCCTTCATCCATATTTTGAAAGTTGTCATTTTGCACAACTGTAATTTTTATTAATTGTAACTTGAAAATCGTCTGGGAATTTCTTGTGTACTTACGTAAGGCCAAAGTATACGTATATACAGTAGCCCCCCTCTGCCTGTTTTTGGCTCGTTAGGGTTGCGCGCCCATTCAGCTAGCAATCCTGGAGGAGAGAAATTAAAATTACGGATATCAGCTACTGAAGTGTACGGATTTGTTTGTAAAATTGCTGTTATTACGAGGTGGTTAAAATTTTTTTTAAATTGTGTTTTTTTCTTGACTTTTTGGTTCTTAAAAGTAAGTCATTAATTAACAAGTAAAATGGCATAAAAATAAGGTTTCAACCTTACAATTCACCGTTATCGGAATGTATTTGAAATGCGCGAATTGAGTTCTTATACTTTGCCAGCTAACACATTAATAATAATGCTTATGTCGAAAGGGGGTAGAGTTTCCTGCAATTAAATGCAGTAATCATGAAGGAAAGATCCCTGAGTTATGTTGTTTACTTGTCCAATAAACCTAAAAACAAAAGACGAAAACGTATTCAAAAGAACTACAGAAACTGTTACCCCATTTCTAGATAGTTTTATGAATAAAATAGAACTACTTGTTATTCCTCATGATTCACATTCAATGGGCAACATTCATTAGTTTTCAATCATTTCTTTCCTTAGAAATTATTTAAAACTTCTACTTCACAAGCCGTTTTATTTATAAGATTAAAGGAATTCAAATATATTAACATTATTTTTTAGGTTAGATTTAGTAGAAAGATGCTGTATGCAGATCGCTAGAATCCCTGAACAACACTCGTCGTCGCAGGGCATTTAACACAAACTTTTCTTCTGTATAATATATGTACTGGGTAAAAATATCTTATACAATGTCTCACAGATGAAATTGTCATTTTCTAATCCCCTTTCATTTAAAGGAAGGTGCACGTTCATTCATTTTTCATTTTTATTGCATTACAAGGGCGAATTTTGCATTTGCATTGCATTTTAAATATTTTATTATGAAATTATGAATCGGAGGTTTGTGTTCCTATATTAATAGGTAAACATTCTAAATTCCAATTTTTAAAGTTGAAGTAAAAGTTAAAAGAGTTTCTGAGACTTGTCTCAAGAAATTTTGATCCACCGATATTTTTAAGTGGCATCTACTTACATGACAATGAGGGTGTTTGACGATACCACATCACGAATTAATACTAATCACAAAAATGTTTGATGTTTCGTGGACTATAATTTATCAATGTTTCATCTGTGTATAGTATCTTTGCAGAATATTTTTCACGACCTTAATACCAGAATTATACAGGATAATCGTATTTCCCCTTCAGCAAATTACCTACTTTGCATGAAATTTCGGTTGTAGACCGCCAGCTACTGCTCGCCTAATCTCGAACAGCTTATGTGTTGGGCGAATGTTCGCTTCTTTTGATGTGTCCGAAAGACCGACACGCGGTTGTTGATCGAACACCGAATGATCGTCACAACACGAATATCAAGCAACTCGTCCATAGTGCTTGGGATGCAGCAAGTGTTTGTTCACTACTCTCCGAATAATGAATGAGTGGGGGGGCCTTTAAACTCGTTTTGCAAATGTTCGTCAATTTCATTATCAACCATTTATTATGGAAACATTATAGTATTGAAACCGCGTATAGAGAGAAATTATTAATTAAAATTATAAATTATAAATTAAGCCCTATTAATCTTCGACATATTTTGTGAAACCCTTAAAATGTGTTTTGGAATTAAACTTCGCTAAAAGATTCTTTGAAATGGAAGTGGAGCAACGTGTTTCTGTTTCTAATTTTGTGTGTTCTCGGCATCTGATTTTTCGACGTCTTATTATTATCGGAGACTAATCTGTTCCTAGTTCGACCTACTGAAATTATTATAATGCTGCGGCAATAATCAGCAATTTTATGGCAGAAACATTTTTATTGTGATGTCGGAAAAAATTATAATTTATTTCCTAATCGTAACACTTTACTTCCTCCCACACGTTGTATACTCATCCACACTGGCAACTCACGTTTTGTGTGTGTGTATATATATAAGAAAATTGAAAGAGATCGGCGAAAATAAGACCTTCAACATTTTCTTAGGTGCCCTTTGCTCTCTCTATTCGAGGAAAGGTTTTACGAAAACTTTAGAAAGAGATATTGAGAAAAAAACTATGTATTCCCCTAATTGCAAGAAAAATATGTGAAAACTATTAGTTTTTTAGAAAAATTTGACAGGTTTTAAAGATTACATTTTGAGAAGAGATCTCATTAAGAGAAAAATACTTATTAAAAATACTGGAAGTTGACCGAAAATTGGACATGTACCATTTTTAAGCATTCTTACCTCTATCCATTACAAAGATTATGGTATACACAAGGGAATGCCACACCCCCTCCTTTCTCACAAACTAACTAAAAACAATAATGCTACTCATAGATGACGTGTCTAGCATACTTGATTATTTATCCGCAATTTAAAATGTACTTTTGTCAGTTGATTGATACAGAGCTTTGAAAATTGACTAAGCGCTGGCAGTTTTAAGCATGTATTCGGCATTTTAGTGTTTGATTAACCCTGTGTTTATTATCCACGACTGGGAGTCATTTGGCGAGCATGGCGTATTACCATTCCCGAGTTGGTCAGCCTGAGATTTTATTTCGTCACGGTACACAACCAGAGATGATTCTTGTTAAAAAGCTACAACTTCGTTTTTGCCTCGGCCGGAAATCGAACCTGCGATCGCTTCACGAAAAACTAGCATGTTGTTCTTGAGCAACACGAAAGGCATTTGCAGTTGGTGCTGGTAGTAAAATGTAAGTATGAAGACACTAGAAGAAATAATTTTTTTTGGCGGAATATGTATTTTGAGTAGGAAGTACAAATACGAACGATGTGCAATATTTTGTTTGACAAGATTCCAAATAGGTAATGATGAATCTTAATACTAGCAATTTAATTACGTTTCGACAAATAGTTCATTGGCCGAAATCTGTCCGATCTTATGTTTTATCAGTTGATCAAGGTATGAACATGTTCAAAACTCCGAAAATGTGGTAGAGAGCCTTACAAAGTCATTGGAATTGTCTCAAGAACGCATGGTCGCGTTTGACACCACTCACACGACTGTAAGAAAATAATTGAAACTGTTTTCATACTATGCGATGTCCGTACAAGAATTAAAGTTGTTTGACAAAATGAATATTTAGTACCAAGAATGCTTTCAAAAATTTGTATTTAGTGGCGTCAAGGTCCTGAACTAGACTTTTTTTAAGAAGAGGCTTGCTCTCATGTATTCGGGTAACTAAACTTGCACAAAGAGTCTAATATGGATGACAAATAATTGTCGCACTAGTCACGAAGCTGCATAGGATAGAAAGAAGTTGCATAGGCTGAAAATAGGATTTCCATAACTAAAGAACGTATTGAAGTTTCCATTTTACTCCACGGCAAGACATTGTCATCACAATCTGTACCCCCTTCATCGAACTGTTGACAGTGGATGAAATAATGAATGTGAATTTCCAGCACGATGGAACCACGACTAAACTTTTCCATGTATCAAACGTATTATGAATATATTGGAGAATACGGATATGTGGAGATGCTTTAGGTTTAGGATCCATGTAATTTTGGAAGGACAATGGTCAGTAAGACCTTCGGATCATACACGTCTTGATTTCCGTTTTCTGTGGACCGGCTAAAGCAAATTTTACAAATTTTAAAGACTTCAGAAGGATTTAAATATTCATTATGGTTGGATGTTCTATCCATATCCCAAAAATCTTCAAATAAAGTGAGTATTGAATAAATATAAACGAGTGCCTCTTTTCCTTAAAAAAATATAGATAAAGAGTAATTAAGTAATCATACAAGTTACAAAAGTCACTATTTATTTCAAAATATTTTTCGTATACTGTAACTATTTCAGTATATTTCATTGTATTTCACATTACTAAGTACCTTATTGTGATTACATATCGTGTATGTGGTGATTTCAGAAAGTTGCTATTTCCGAAGTGGAGAGAGACTTTGAAGTGAAAATTTGTCGATATTCATTACATATGCGCTTCTTCATCTTTTATCAAAAATGCAGAAAACTCGCAAAGAATACAATCTCCATAGTACGTGACACATCTATTTTAACTGTTGTCGTCAAATAAATAAATAGTAAAACTACATTAGTGAATGTTTTATGGTCTGCGAAGGGTGCTGAATATCCACCACCCTTCCTCCCGGTTTACTACACTGAATAAAATCACAGGAAACAACATCTCTCCCTCCCTCTCTCTCTATTTCTCTCCCTCACTCTCTTTTCCCCCTCTCTCTCTTCAACCCTCTCTATTTCTGCCTCTCTCTTTTCAACCCTCTCTATTTCTCTCTCTCTCTCTTTCCCCCTCTTTCTTTTCCACCCTCTCTCTTTCCCCCTATCTCTTTCCACCTCTCTTTTCCCTCTTTGTTTTCCTGTCTCTTTCCACCCTCTCTTTCCCTGCACTCGCGGGGAAAGGAACTGTAATAATCCTCCTTTAATCTAGTCGGTCATCGTCAGTAGTAGTCAGTCATTACCTATTATCCTTTCGGCCACTCATTCAAACCGATATATTCTGTCGTAGGGCAGTAACACAAGTTATTCCATAAAAAGCATCCCCTAAAATGCATCATATTATTTTAACAAATTTTGTTTCTTAAGAACATAGTACTAATTTACATTTTCTTTGCGGTGAAATTTAAGAGAGTGCAAATTAAATTAGATACGGGAACCAAACCCTTGTTAATGTCTTATTAAATAGTGTGAAATAGTTGGCCTATCTTTTCACGGGAAAACTAATAAAATGCACTAAAAACATGAAAGTCGGGAAAATTTGTTCCAGAAAAATTGTAGCCACTTGTTTCCACAAAATTGTCGTACTTGTTTCTTAAGAGCATGGACATTGTTGAGTTAAATGCTATACATGTATTTAACTCAACAATTTACACAAAATATAGATATTGGATACTTTCAATATGGAATTACTACGAGAGTTAACTCTTTCAGGAAAAGTTTCTATATATAGGCTCACCCAGAACGCCAAGGCGGTAATTGAATGATACCACAACAAGTCCATGCCTGATCATGTCATCCGGACGAAGGACATCCAAATTACCCCAGCCCATGTAGAAGGCTCCTGGATGTATCCACACCACCACAGGATATTTGCTTCCAATCCATGACGTTGAAGGCTAAGAGCATTAAAGCATTCCGTCAGCCACAGTGCATCAAAATAAGGGCAATATTACTGATTTGCTTAAAAAATGTACGAAATGCAAACGTTTTTCTGTTTCCTTACCGGCATATTTGTATTATAGTAATTTATTAAGTTAGACTCTTTTTGAAAATATACCATTAACCTGATTCTTTGATTGTTGTTTAAAAATTATTTATTAACGCTGCCATTTTAAAGTTGTATTAAATAGAATTATACAATTATTATATTGTTTTGCATTTACTGAGTTTGGGAATAACAGAATCTTACAAGACCATTGAAATAAGAAGTAAATGTAAAATGATCTTGAATAATATGTAAGAAATTTCTCCGTAAGCAAAATCTATGACTCCATTTGTACACATTCTTATTACATAATAAAAAATAATTCTGAATTTTTAAGTGTATCTAATGAAATTTTGGAAGAAAAGAACCCCCATCATAGGCAAAATGTAATTCGCACTGAAATTTGAATTTATACTTACGTGTGCAGTGTACACATTAATAAACAAGCAGTCCTCATTCCCAGTAACTTCTTGAGTTAATAAGTTTTTTTGAATACAAATTGATCCTGCAGTGGTTGCGTTTTTGATGCCATGCCATGATTCTGGTTCTTCCGGATCCTGTGCGAGAAACAAAAACGTCAGATAAAAGTGCATTTAATTTGAAATGGAATTCAAGATTATACACTAGTGTACTGCATTGCTTCTCTGCAAGGTATGACAACAAGCGCCTGAGTGACTGAGATTAATTTCAAAATCTGTATCGATACTTAGTCAATAAAATGTTAATGGTTGTCCATTGACATTTTGAACACTTCGTCACACTTTTTGTATTTTCTCCGAAAGTTTTGAAAACAGTTTTCGTATAGTGTTTGAGAGTCTGAAAAGTAATTGCACTAGGAATATCTAGAAATTACCTTGCTTATTGTTTTAAAAAGAGGGTCAACATGTGGCAGTTTTCGGAATATTTGAAGAGGAACGGAAACACCGTTGAATAGGAATATTATTTCCAACGAGAGCAAACAGAACAGAAGATTGGCTGAGCAGCAGAAGATCGGCTGATATTATTTTTTCTACACATTACAAAGAATAAATAAGAACAACCTCCAAGGTAACAGATGGCAAATCAATTTAAACTCTCTTTTTATAGTCACTAAAACGCATGCTGTTTCATAATTCTGGTGACGAAGTTCCATTAAGTATGTAATAGCGAATTCTAAAGCATCATGATTTATTAAGGAAGCGGTTCAATAGTTTAATAAAGAGTTATCTATTGATAATAAAAAAATAATTCATTAGTTTAAAATAAAAATCATTTTTTATTATTGTAAAACGGAATCCACAATATGTTCAGAAAAATAGTTGCTAAATATTTCTTGTCAGCTTTGAATGCTGTATTTACGATATGTTAATCTCAACTATAAAAAAATTAAACAAAAACGATAAAAATAATTAAAATTGTATAAAACAAAATTTAATGTTCTTTTTTATTAATTATATTACTTATTACATTTATTATTGGTTTCATTACATTGCATTTTAGATTTGAATAATGTTATGCACATGTTAAATGTTCTGATATATTCAATTCTGGAAATATTAGACGCTATATTCGACAGCAACCAAAAACAAAATTTTGAAATTTTGTGAGGGACACTTCGTCACAAAAGCGGCAATATATGCATGCCGGGTTCGTGTGTCGTTTACTGTTTCCAAGAACTTGGGGAACCTCAGTGTTGTTGATGTGTTGGAGACGGTATTCAGTGTAGGCGTTTCCGTCTGTGACGTCACCGAGGGCAGAGATTCCGCCCGCGAACCCGTACTTTTGGTCGTGCAATCGGGTATGAAAGGAAAGAACGATTCATACCTTGAAGCGTCTCTCTCCAACTGGCGGGCGGGCGTACGGGATGCCTTCGAATGCGTAGTAGTTGCGAAGCTCAGAATGCGGTTGCACCACGCACCGTCCACGCACTTGTCCTTGCTGTAGATCCACCGTCGGCTCCAGACAGCCAAGGCACAAGGACATAAGCCCTGGCAGCAGCAGACTCAACAGGTACGCACATGGCCTGCTCGTCATTGCGAAGGCTCGCCGACGAGAGTGCGTTTGCGGCGATTGATGCTTAGCAGCTCTGTGGTCGAGAAGCCTCAAATGAGCCGATTTCAACGCATTTGCCAACTAGTGAAATTAACAGTTTCTCTAAAACTGAGATCACTTTGTTGTCACTCCTGGCAAAGTATTGGTTGAAGGGGGAATTTTATGAGAGATAATTTTAGTGATACCCGTTATCGTCGATGATTTGTCATGCTGCTGTGATGCACTACTGAATGATTGTAACCACTTTTATGATTAACATCTTATCGGCCACACTCGAGTCTTGAAAGAATATATTGTTGTGAAGTGTTTTCTTACCTGAATGTTTTGGTATCCATTGACTGATTGAGCTTACTATTTTTCTTTCAGTGTCACTGTAAATATTTCTACTTATTTGTTGGCTGAAGGATTAGTGTTTATTTAGTAATGACACAACAGATGGACAATAAAAAAGAATGGGTGTCTATACATGATTCTATCATAATAATATTACTAACATATCTCAGTTGTAATTTGTCAAGCACATCTTATTTAATTCAAACGAGGATGACATTAAAAAATGAAAATTGCCATTGCAATGTGATTCCTTTCTATCCTTTTCATTTGATTTGTTTTGAAAATTTTTCAAGTCATTACTGTGTAAAAATACCATTTACGTTCAAATATTTTTAAGGGAGAGTGTTCCTTTTTCTCTATTGATATGGAAAGTTCTTTTATTTTAGAAATAACGTACGATAGATTAGTACGATGGTTTAGAACGATACGATTCTGTATTTTGTTATATTTTTAATGTATTGTAACAGAAGGAATATAATGATTAATTCGTACTTAAAGTGCTTTGGACAATGCTGTATAAACGAAAATGAACTAATGTCTTTTGAATTCATCTGACTGTCAGCATTAGCCATATTAAGCGGGCTCAAGATAGATCTAGTGTGAAACGCCATGTGTTCACGAAAACTATTTTGGAATCAAAATTTGTTGGAAATTATGATTACACATATTCGATATTGCTTTGTGTAAATCGAAAATATCGAAGTCAGAGACTGTCTCCCCAAGTCAAAAATACTTAGAAAAGCGCCTACTGTGATACATTACGAGGTGATGTTAGGTTAGGTGGTGCCGTGTTATAGAAATGTCACTGATCTTGGAACCCTAAACTATACAACTTATTAACTTCAGACATTTTGCATCAGTAGTTTGATTTCTTTTTATGACATAATTTCTAGTAGTCCACGTCACTGTACTATACTTCATCGTCTTTAGTCCCCACGTTGTAGTTGAATTCGGAAGTAAGTTTCGCAGCTGTCCCACTTTTGTCTCTGCCCACCCATTATCAATAATATTAATATTATGAGACCGACTTCCGATTTAGCAAGTTTCATACACCTCTAACATAGGTAAATACATTGTCAATCTATTCTTGAAATTAAACTCCTAGTGCTGTTTGTAATAACGAAAAAAATCATAACATGTTTATATTACCGAAACTGTTTTTGCCGGGGTATTTGTTGAAAGTATGCTATTAAAATACATCTAAAAGTTTTCAAAAGAAAAATTATCAATTAAGTTTTTTGTTTCTTTGTTCTGTATTACCTATCATATTTCGGGAAATTATGAATTGAGATTTCAAGCCGAGGAAATTCAATTAAAAATTAATTTGTTTGGTGTCGTTCGTGTTGTTTTATATTCATTGTAAAAAAAGCTCTTAGAGTCAATTGTTTCTTATAGTTTTTTAACTTTTGGCCTCACCTTCGGGCATTTGAATGACTGAAATTTGAACTTTTGGTGATTTAAAACAATGACATCAATAAAATTATTTCAATTAGTACTAGTGCAATAATTGATGAAGCGAATATAGCTTTCTAACGATTAGTTACAATTTTAATATACTGGAAGCTTTGCCGTATGTACTGTAGTGACCAGCTCACGTTTCAATTTACGAAGCTTGAAAGTTTTAAGAAGGAGACTAGAAACTAGTAAATTTTCTAGTGACGTAGTTGGCTGAAGGATGTCGCACCTAGTAGAGACTTCTAGAAGCTATTTTTTGGGTATTCCTTTGACCTATTCCAATTGGATACGGAAAAATATCCACTGTATTAACCGATAGTTTTTCCTTTTTCATACTTAGATCCGAAGTAATTCCATGCCACGAAATTTAAAAAAAAATCATCAATATTTCTTATACGCTAATAATAGTCCAAGCCTCAAATAAACGTGAATTGCAGTAGAAAAAAGGGAACATAATGTCCTAACACGACGCCGCGAGAAAGCGTGTCGTGTGCTGTGCGACTGCCTACTTTGGCCATTGCGAAGCAGTCACCTACCTGTGCGGTTGACAGGAGCGACTGACAGGTTGGCACCGGGTCAGCAAGTGGAATGCCTGTCGCCACCTCAGAACCTGTTTATATATGCAACCGGCACGTGTCGCCTAGAATAGAGCCACTAACGTGCTGTTTCGTGTCGGGCGCTAGACTGTCAGTGAGCGGAATATATTTACCGCTCGAATTAATGGGCAGGCGAATACTAACATAACTCAACGAAGTTGATGTCTCTTCAGAACTGTGGGGTCACGCGTATTCTATCAGAGATTGTTTCATCATGTTGCGGATCTTAGCAAAAATTTGAGTTAAAGTGAACTCATCGATTCAGTGATCTGAATTCAACTGTATTAAAATAAGTTGATTTTTAGACGATATTACGTTGCTTAAACTAAATTGTTGCTGGCAACAAAAGTAGAGCTCAATTCCTAATAGAATCTACTTTCTTTGTCATGTACAAGCTACCGGAATAACGTCCCTAGGTTATTCAGCCCGACGTTCAATGTGTTCTTAGGGGCGGTGACTGCACGAACGCTGAAGACAGATTCTTAATTACATCAATATTTTATTGAAGTTGCACCGTACATTATCATATTACGAGTTTTTATCGAAAGGAATTATAGATTATTCGACCCACAGGGATGTATCAAACAATTTATTAAAGAAACATTATATAACGTTCAAATGAAGGTCATCATATGCCAGAGGTCTGAGGTTACTCTCGATACCAGCGCTCGATATGCAGCGTTGTGGAAACGTCGGCTTATTTAAAGTGTTTTGCCGTCAGTTCGTGGTATACTCCAGCTTGACCCGTGTGTTACGTGTTACGTCTGTTTTGTGCCTCGCGATAAAGGCATTGTGAAAATTCTGTGAAATAAAGTGAAAATTCTGATCTGAAGGTTCAAATCTAGGTTTTGTGTTAGCTGTAAATTGCTTTTGTTCACTAAAAGTTTGAATCTGGTAGAAGAAAACTATTGCAAGCGTTCTTTTATAATTGTGTTAATTCAAGGCTCCACCTACGTAAGAACTTTAAAATTTCATTTACAATGCCTTTGGTCTCTTTTAAAGCTTACAAAAGTGTTTTAGACATTAAAATATTTTATCAAGAGAAAGTCAATTTTCTTTAGTTTATTCATTTCAAATTTAAAGACTAGAATAACGAAACGCAAATGATACATTTTCCTTAGGAGTATTATACTATTGGG